CATGAGATTTCGCGCATTGGGGGAGTCTATTGCCTTGACCAGGAGAAGCAGGAGAGGCACGCCGGTTTTGGTTTTTCGCATTCTGATGATTCTGTTCTCTATGAACGAAATTCCATATTCGAGGGCGAGAACGTCTCTAATGACGCTCGTGTCTTCTATGGAGGTCCACGCCTCTAATGACGCATTTGCATAGCGGGGTCCCTGGCTCGAGCAGGGAAGGCCTCTCCGCCTATCCCTGATTCGGTCCATTTGCTGGCGACTCGAGTAATATCCGAAGGTTTCGCAAAGTTGAGGACAAAGCCTGCAGAGCGGGCTTGCTTGATGTCGAGCAAGTAGACATTAGGGAAGGCGCTGTAGTTACGCTGTAGTTACTCACAAAAATACGTCTCATTACATGGCCCAGTCCAGAGACCTGTTTGGAGGTGAATCCATCAAATTGACTCTGCATGTAAATGAATTTCAAATGCTAACAACACCATGCCCTATGACAGTGCCACACATACTGTAGCTGTACAATCCCTAAATATTAACTTCTCAGCCAATCAAGAGGTTTGTATAAACCTGGAGGAGCTATTCCTAAAGAGTAGGCCTGGGCCCAATTCGGCCGATGAGAACTCGTCTGAATTGATACTTGCACTTCTGACATCCTCCTGAAGCAGGCAATGAAGAGAGGCTGTCTTCATATCTCTCCACCACAATAGTCCTAGATCCTAAAATCTTGTTCATTATCTAAAAAAATTCCCAAGCAGTTGGAGAAGTACCAGACTTTCTTGCCCTCAATGTCTCGAAGTATGTGGCCTTTAGGTTGTTGATCTTGTTCTTTAATTACTCTTCCTCTTCTGTTCGAATGAATCCATATTTTGACATCTCCTCTGCTATACGAGTCGAGATGGCTTTGTTTTTCGCCTTCCCGATTTCGAAGAGTGAGTGCGTTTCCCGCTCCATATTTCTATGAGAGCTGTTGTCTCCTCCACCGAGAAAAAACGGCATCACATTAGACCTTGGACCATTACAATATTTATCCATCTCCAATGCTTTTTCACACGAGGTCCCCATCATCAGCAGCGCCATGTCCCCAAACAGTCGATGTGGTCAAATAAGATGTCGCTCTCAATTACGATTTCTAAATATGAAAATTCGATCAGTTATAGAGGTCCTGGAGGGCTATCGAGTTTGATATTTCGATCATGACCGAAAAGTATACTTGGACCGGATGAGTGGTAGGGGGAGAGATAGGGAGCTGAGTTGGGATCGGGAGCGTTCTTGAGGGAGCGGATTGTTTCGGAGGCTGAGGACACGATTAACGATTCCATCTCTTATGTTACTGGAATGTATTTCTAGTCTTTTCAAGACGATATCCTATATTATCCCTCGTACCTTTAATATATCCGTTTGAAAAGGTAATCTGGCGGAAGCAGACTCCAGTATTATATGGCCCGGCGCTTCGAGGAAGCATTCTAAAGATTCAATTTTTTTATACCTCTTGGTGATGACGGAAGCTTCTCAATTAGCTTCAGAGCAGGGATGCACAACCTTTTTCGACCAAGGGCCAAAAAGTGACTGTTGGGTACTCATCGCGGGCCGGATATCGGGGGAAGCAGGACAATCTTGAATGGGACGGCATATCCCCTTGGATGGCAATGCCATAGGAGGTTGTGCAACCCTGCCTTATAGGTTAATTCTGTCTTTTCTCCAGCAAAGCAGGAAGATTGCCCAAAAGATGATATCAGACACTTTACATCGTCGCTGGACAGAACGTGGCACGTTATTACTATTGCAAGTAAGATTTTAATCCTGTAAGGAAGTTCCAGCTTCCCATGGAATCAACCATGGATGGAAGTATTTGCTCGACTAGCTTGAAGCTGGGAGGCATGACAGAGTATTTTAGGATAAGCGATCATTGTATCTAATGCTGAGAAAATGAGCAGGCCAAGAAGTTGATAGCTAAACGCTGCAACTGTGCGACATAGCGTATTTTCACGAGCATACTTGAGCGCAAATGCTCAACTGTGTCTCACTTCACCATTGTGGCAGCATATTAAACACCTTTTACGCAACGTTACGAAGTTGTTGCGTCAAAAAAGCAATCCTTGCTCAGTGTTGTTTTGTCGACTGGGATAGAGCAACAACGACTGGGAATCCTGTTCATGCTGCCCCCTGCAACTTCTCTTCTATGGCTAACAAGAATCTGTCAATTACGACTGTTAAAAAGGCAGTCCTGGCAATTTATGCGACACACCGACCCAGACTGACCCCGGCGAATGAGCCTAGGCTACTATGGCAACTGCTAAAGAGCTGAACGGGAAGAAAATCGCAAAAAACTGATCTCAGTATCTGACATTTTCCAGAAATATTTGCAGATGAAGATTGTTTCAGGTTTCACTGCTGATGTGAGAGGAATAGCGGAGAGAATGGTGGCAGAAACAAGGCAGATATATATTTTATTGAAGGAAAATTGCTGGTATCTTGGTCATCCCGAGAGACCAAATTCCTTTCCTCCAGACTTCGGTTAGTTCTGGGCTCCTAGCATTCAAGCCTGTATGTGACATCAATCGATGACATCCTTCTTGTGCGTAGCAATTGTGAGCGATTTGGCCCGAGCAAGCACATTTTGAGATGTAGCTGGTGATCTTATGCACTTCCATTTCGCAATCTTACGCAAAAGGATCAGATATAAAAAGAAACAAAATTGATTATGTAATTATTACAAAATAGAAATAAAAACGTAACAGAAACGAAATTTGAGGAACAGAAACAGAAACATGAACGAAATACATAGGGGTTGCTGATGAACTAAACAGAAACGAAACGAAATCGATTTCGTTATCAGCCCTGGTCGAGGGGGTGTAAGTGTAGGTTGGGGGGGAGAGGGTGGGGACCGATTCTTACGAGTCTTCCTCTTACCAGGCATTCTGTGCCCGATAGGGGGGAAGATTTAGGGAGAGTCTGGTTGAACATAGAGCAGACAAGATGCAAGGGCTAGCAAAAAAAAAATCAGTCTTTACAAGGACAGTTCCAAAAAAGGAGAGTGAGAGTTGTCTTCACAAAGACAATTTTACGTTGCCGGAACGATATCCCCCAGCAGCAGGGATGTGGAGAGAATCAGCTGATGCCTGGGGGTAGACACCAGCCTTATTTTCTACATATACGGGCACAGGAATGGTTTTTTGAAGGGATTATTAGCTTGTTTAATTCATGGACTTATCAATCTTAAATGAAGAGAAAATAAATGAAGACATAACAAAATATATGGTGAGGTAATAAGTACTGCTGTGAAGGGCGACCTGGGGCCTTAATTGGACCAGTGTCTTTTGCCAATATTGTGCCAACTTGGAGCTTCTTATTGAGCCACAGTCTCTTGCTAAAGTGCCGCCAATTATGGCAAACCAGCCTAGAGCCATGAATAAAGCCAGGCCATGTCCTCTGCCAATGAAGTGCCGAAAAATGACTAGCCGATCTTGTGTCGTGAGGGGGTCAGGCATGTCGGCAAATGCCGATGATCTGCCGACGGTACCAGTAAGGGGGCATTGTTGGCCAAAGCTTCTCGGTAATGTGGGTTACCTAAGGACATACTTTTAAGGATGGCAATTTTTCTAGAAATGTTTTTCCCTGTGAAACAGACGAATGTATAAACCTACAACTCCGTAAATACGTATCCGAATGGTCATTGATGATCCGAAACTCGTCAATGGACAGAGCAGTTGTCCAAAGATTGATGAAAGTCATGAAGCGGTCATCTTTGGAAGTTCATAGGGTATCATTGCTATGTATCGATATCGTGCCATTGGTTTGAGCTTCATCTCGGTAGGATTTCCTCTCATTTAAACGTCAATCATTTCGACTTTATTGAATGAGGGATTCATAGAATGGTGACATGAGCATTTGATCATGTGATTTCTGGAATTTTTTTTTCTTCGTTCAAATCTTGAAACCCTGTTACTTCAATCGTTTTATCCAAAGTGCATCATTATAATTGGATCAGTGCATACTTTCATTTACATTATTCGATATTTGCATGAACGTATGTGTTAGTTCTCATTTGACGTCCGTCTCGGAGCAATCAAACAGAAAGACATGCTCTCCTCACGGGATTACTTCTGGAAGTTCGTAACTGAAACAGCCAACAATCCTCCTCTTCGCCATATCAAGGAAATACCGCGGAATTGAGTCATGCTATACCGATTGAAAAATTTATCGCATGCAGCAACGACCTACCTAACACTGCTTGAAATTTGTAATTGCCTTTAAACGAAAGTTTTCAAAATCGTGATAATTCATGGCGTCATTGCAACAATTAAACAGAAAATTCACCAAGTAAATATGGTATAGCTCTGTCTCACCTTATTTTAATTGAACCTGAAACGATACATTCCTAGTCATTGAGGGCTAACTATAGCCTTTTGAAGCTTTTCCCATCGTGAAGGGAACATTTTTCTTGCAGAATGTCCCGGGAACCCCTTGCCGTCGAGAGTCTTGGGATTTTTCACAAATAGGAGACGTCATCGTCCATGCATTTTCGAAAGCGAATCCCGAAGGGTCTCGCAATCAGAAGCATATCACAGGATTTAGAACGCCTCATTGGTATTCCCTGGTACCAGAATGCCAAATGCATCTCTGGAGTGGAGGAGGTTCCCGAAGCATGGGCAGCAACTCCGCCCTCGTAATTGGGGTGGCAGTTTTCCTCCTTCATGAAACTGTCGTTTATGACTGGGTAACGGTTATTAACAGTGAAGAGTGCCTTCCAGTTGGTGCCGATGAATCAATAATCGCAATCAGTTATTACTTTTTCTCGAACGGGTTCTCATAAAACACCACCATGCAATTTTAAATTTCAGGTCTCATGCATACACTTATTTGAGTCTTGTTTCATTATCACTTTATGTAAGTGTATAATCCATATGTCTCGGATCGAATGTAACAGTCTATAATGTTCTTGGTAAGGGATACAATGAAATTTTCGGAAACCAGTCCTCCTCGTGACGTCGTATGCGCATTTCCCTTCACATTTTCTTCGTATTCTTCCCAAATATTCTGAGGAATACGGCCTTAAACGTCTGGATCATGCTCATTGGATCCTCTATGTTATACTCTTCCCCAGAGCTTTCATTTCCTAGGCTTTCAAAATCGATTCCCTCTTCCTCTAAGATGGACGAGACGTCAGGTAGAACTGTGCAAGTACCTGAACCATTCTCGCACTCCTGGATCTTCTCCCAAACGCTGAAAACTTTCTTCAACTGCTCTAGTTGCTCATTCATCACTGGGTGCTTCTTCTTTTCGGCCTCGATGAGAAAGTCTATGTTGTGCGGGGGTGAGCCTGGCAGTGGAGGCTGGCAACACGAATCCCACCGCATTTATGCCTTGGAGACCGTGGCGCTCTGATTTCTCAAAAAACTCTCGAATCTGTATGGGAGAGGATGATATCGTGCTGTGTTGCCAAAAATGCATTCCATCATATGTGGTTATGTTCATCGAAGGATGAATGCGAGAAAATGCATTGTTCCAGTTGATAAATGAAGGACATGTTTTTCACTTTTTTCACACGTTAGATTCTCAAAAGACGTCTAGGGTTATAAAGCTTACTACGTGAAGTTGCGCGACGGGTTTATTTTTTATCCGTTGATTGAAATATTGAGACGGTGCTTCAGAGATAAAACGAAAGGGTGCTTCCTGAGGAGTTTAGCTGAGAATATGTGCCAGTGCATAAGAAAAGGGACCCGAGGGGCAAAAAATATATTTAACGTTTTAACAAAACTCCGGTAGCAAATATTTTTGTCTTTCAAATTTACAAGCGCATTCGCCTGAGAATTTTATTCTGAACTTGTCAGTTGCATAGTAGGCTACATCGTGGAAGATAGTCGGTTTCTGGAATACTTTTTCTAGATGCAGCAGCAGTGTTTGTGAGCATCACGACAGGCTGCGTTTAGGATAGCTCAGAGTGCATTCTAATTAATTTCTATTACTTAAACTATTTCATCATATACTCATAAATGTGATTGGATTTTACGTAAAGTAGAAACGAACGCACGATCTGCTCACCAAGAGCACCAGAGTTCAACTAAATTGTGTGCATGAGCACAACGACGTTCAGAGCGAGAACGGATTAACTTAAGGAGACAAGAGATGCACTGGTTTAAAACCAAGGGAGCGAATAATACGAATCCTTGTTACCCACTCAGGATTGGAGAAGAGGAAGTGCTTAAACATAATAGCATTTGGGATTGGTTGGCGAGTTGCTCGGCTTCTTCATGCACGTAATTTGAAGCCCGTTTGTTTCGAAAACCTTTGTTGCCCCTAAAGTCCCCTAGAGTCCCCTAAAGAAACCCTAAGGTCCCTCTTCTCAGGCACTGACACATTTTTAAAAATCTGCCATTTCTGTGCCAATGTCATCGTTTAATCCGAGATGTGGTTTTTATGTATTCCTGAAGCGTTGCAACCGTGGTTAAGCACCTATAGATATATACGCTATAGCTTCTGCTATGGTGTATGAAGGAATTAACCGAGAGGAGTACAGTTTGAATCATCATAATAAAGAGCCTGATGTGAAGTCCAATGCAGAGTCCAGGCATGATATCCACGATTTGAGCCTTTCTATCATGAGTCTCTCCTTCCTTCTACAGGGTGTTAAGAAAGTTGTGTCCCATTGCAATATACCTATAATCTCAGCAAAAAACCTAATATGAGGAAAAAAAAATTATGTACAATAACAAGGACACTTAACTGATTTAGAATCACATAATAGTTTTTTATATAACCACCCTTGGCACAGATGGCAAGGTTCAGATTAACCATGGAAGCATCGACTGATTTTCGAAAGTCTTCCTGTGGAATTTGCTCCCATTCTCGGTTCAGGGATAGCTTGAGAGAATCCAAAGAACGGTGTTTTGTAGCACACACTTAACTCTCCAAGATGGACCAAATTGAAAAATTTAAGGGGTTGAAATCAGGGGATTATGGGGGCCATTGTGAAGTCGGAATGAAGTCGGGGATATTTTTCCACAGTCACTTCTGAGTCATCTACGCCTTGTAAGCTGGTGCTGAGTCCTGCTGGAAGACCCAGTTGCCACCATTGAAATGATTCGTGGCCCACAGAACCTGATAGTCTTCCAGGATGCTTTACCGGTATATTTCAGAGTTGACATTCGGCACGAAAACGAGCGGAGTGTGTCCAGAAGCGGTAATCCCAACCTAGACCATTACAGAAGCCACCCCTTGACGCTGAGTGGCTTGAAAATTTTCAGATTTCGATTTTTCAATTTGGTCCATCTTAGAGAGTAAAGTGTGTGCTACAAAACACTGTTCTTTGGGTTCTCTCAAGCTATCCCTGAACCGAGAATGGGAGCGAAAATTCCACAGGAAAACTTGCAGAATTCAGTCGATGCTTTCATGGGTCGTCTGGACCTTGTCATCTGTGCCAAGGGTGGCTATATTGAAAACTATTTAGTGATTCTAAATCAGTTGAGTGTCCTTGTTATTGTACATAAAAATTTCTCCTGATTTTTTTTTTTGCTGAGGTAATGTTCACATTGCAATGGGACACAACTTTCTTAACACCCTGTAGTATTCCTTCAATGCCCATATCTTATATCCAGACCGATTTGGTATTTAAGTAATTAATTCTTGGGAATATTTTCTCCTTTCATTGCACTCGGACCTACCCATGCGTTAAGATCGGCCATGACAGAATGCCCCATCTCGAGGAATATCTCTATCACGCTAAACCGCCGGCGTTCTAATAACTTTAAGCGGAAGTGATTACAAGAAGCCTTCTCTGACCTTGATCACATTTTCTTCGTCCTCGCTCATACCCTTGGAGTCCCCAAATCCAGGGGTGTCCACAACGATGAGATGGTACGAGATCTTCATGCCCTCCTGGTAGTTGAAGGAATAAGCGGTCACCTCTTTCGTCTGGCTCTGGGATCTGTCTTCACGGTTCACGTCTCCTTTTTCCGTGACCACCCGGAACCGAAAGTCATCTTCCCATCGAACTCCGTAGATATAGTTCGCCAGCCCATTGATCATAGTCGTCTTACCTTAATAGAACCACCTAGCTCAATCACATGCATTGAAAGAAATGAGTATGTAACTGAGATATATGAGAAGCAACACATCTATTTGACCTTGCTTACGTTGCAAATGGAAGTGTCCTGATTTTCGATATTGTCATTGCCAGTTTGAGTGGATAAGTAAATGATCCCTCTATAAAGTTACATTGCTCGGAAGGAATCGAATAATGCCCATTTCCCAAACTCAAAGAGTGAGGATTATGAAACACTTGTGCAACTTCCCCAGACTACTGCACTTAACATGAATCGAAATCATTATTAGGTCGGATTGCATTTATATATTAAAATAAAAGGGGAAGTGGGATTATTCCAGCTTAAGTGAAAAAGAAAAGGCCATTTTCCCACGTTATTCCCTAAAATTATATTAAATTTTCGTAGTAAATTGGTAATCGTAAGAAGCGCCCCCCCCCCGCAAAGTATTCCCTCCTACTTCCATGGGGCCACAAAGCTGGAGATTGAGAGATGAAATGCCCTTTGACTTAGACGTTGAGGTAATATTGATCTAATTTGTGCCTACATCAAGGAAACACGTACCCTTACTCTTATTCACATATTTGGCCGCAAAAGTAACTCATGAGAAAACATTGTACGGTGGCTGTACAGGACACTTGGAAAGCACGTGAAAGGATCTAAATAAATGCACGTATGCATCCAGAGTGTAAATAAATGGCTTGGACACTTAGAAAAACCTTTTGAATATATATTGGCAATTATTACCTGCTCCTGTCTGCCCAACTACTAGAAGTACTTTTTGGTCGATTTCGACCCCACAGCGAGCAGGTCCAATGTTATATTTGGTTACTCTCGACTCCCCTTCTTGAAATTCGGCTGATTTCTCCAGCTCGTAGATGTCCGGCGTTCTGTCTCCGCCCACTTCCACTCGCCTCGCTTTCTTCTTCATTTTCTCAGCCAGAGGTCTAATGTTCTTTTTTCCGATGTTGGAGCGTTCGAGGGCTTTCTTCCCGTTGCCACGAGAAGACGAGGTCGCGGGGGTATCCAAAGGCGCGGCCGCTGAACTCTTAGCTCCTTCCTCGTTTTGCGAGTCATCCTCTTCGACTGAAGTCATCCCCTCCTTGAGTTCAGGAAATCAGTGATTTCTGAAATTGCTACATTCAAGGTTGTCGGAGTTTTGTTGGTCCATAATAATATCCAGAGCAGAATAGCCCAATTTTAACTTTCATATCAGTCCTTTCAACACAAGTCAAGATGAAAAAATATTTCACAATGGGTGATTTTGGGTAGAATACATTTTCTGGGATACTCGGGCGACCTCTTGAAGATCTTAGAGGCAATCTGTAAGGAATATCTGATATCGAGAAGCTTTTTTGTGCTTCCTAAGATGTGTTCTCCTCAGAAGTTTTTATGGCATCATTTAGGACATTTCCAGATAGCATATTTCCCGTCGTACACTTAACATAGAAGCAGTGACATAAAATCTTATCCAAGCATTCCACAAAAGCAGATGATAAAAATTTATGGAGCAAGGTATTTTCTGGAAGCATTACGGAGATCTTTATATCACCAAGTGGCATCCTGTCTTCATGTCGCGATAACGTTGGGTGTTATTTGTCTCATAGCATCCTTGTTCTGATTTTTCCCCATTTCATGACAAATGTCATGCAAGAGTTTGTTTAGGGACTGAATGTAAAAGCTGGCCCTGCTAATAAAGAGAATGCAAACCTGCCAGATTGGGTCTGTCCTGAAGGTTGAGGAAGAAATTTTCGGGAATCAATATGGATGTCTCGATGACACATAACCTTTGACGGTGGTCATAGCGGAAAGAATAGGCAGCCATAAATTGCAAGGATTCGCACGACAGTATTATCTTGGCATTTCCTAAGGACGCTCTGATAGTTCTGATCTTAGATTTTTTTCCTCCGCGACCTTTTTTCCTTCCTAACGCTCGCGGTTTGGCATGCTCAGATCTGAACATGCCAAGGGAATGCCTGTGGATACAGGACTCCTCTTCGCGCAGTACTTTTCTGCAGTCGCTAAAATAAATGAGGATGTTAACACGGTTTCATGAAAGCAAGGAGAGGTCGTTGAATTCTTACCAAAAGAAGCGGAATTATGGCGAACGTGGCCTTGAATGATTTCCTGAGTTAAATTAAATATTTGCGAGGAAGAGTTGAATTAATCCTTAAAGAAAATATCCAAACCCCTTGCATACGAAGCACGTTCAGACCGATGTGGAATTACAAAACCAAGATTCAAAGTGGGAAGTAAATCATAGCAATTAATTCAGTTTAAATTATCACTAGATTTACCTAATGAATTTTTACCTTCGTGTCCTATGGTCGTGCTTTCTTGCTTGCAGGGACTCGGCAGAAAACTGCATTCGATGCAGCACAAGAACCTCTTCCGCGCAATGAAGTCTCAATCCCTGAAATTTATGGAGCTGTTTGTAATTTCGTCAATAAGATGGACCATCACTCACCACGGCAACGAGGCAGTCACTTGTGAACGGTTCATTGAAGTCCTAAGTATAGGATTTAGACGAAGGACGCTCTTAATCTAATCTACTCCCCTAACAAAAAGAGAATCTCGAGGAACAGGTGATACAGATGCAGCTCCTACCATGGGTCACCATCCAGCGTTGTAAGAGCCTGCATACCAACGAATCCTCACTTCGTCAGCCTCATCTACTGCCTCAATCATCCCCAGCCATGGACGAGATGCTTTCTCATGAGTCTAGACAGCAGTCAGTATTCCAGGAAAAAGATCTTTAGTTCCCGCAAATGTGCCCTGTCTACGACTCCCAACTGCTCCAATAATTGGCTGGGAAATACAATAGTTGAAATAAATATTCCAGATATGAGCACAATCCCCATTATTACATTTACTAAATTTAATGATAAGGCATTGGCTTACAAGTTGAATAAATTCAAACCTGAACATTAGCCTGGTAGATCCGACCTACATTTTGTCGGCAACTTTGCCATAATAGTTTCAAAGTTCAAGCTGTAACTTTTTTGGCAAATACGCTAAGAAAGTGTTCATTCCTTTTTTGTGTTCTCAAAATTAAGAGTTAGAGCTACACTACCCCCCTTCCATACTTAGGGGGTGATCACACCTCGATGCGAACTTTCCCGCAGGCGCAAGTAAAACGTAAAAAGGAGCGCTTACCCTTGGATCGGAAAGACGCCGTCGGCAACGTAGTAACCATCCCGTCTCTAAAGCGTATTTTTTACTCATAAGCTTACATAGAAAATAGTGGAGATGTTTATTGTGAACCCGACCCCATTTATAGATCGGAACCCCGTTTCACACATTGCTCAGCACTCTCACTTGGAAAGAGACCCCCGAGGGTGAAAGCGGTCGGATCCAATCTGGATGGGATAAAACAAGAGCGTTTACCCTCTAATCCAGGGGTCGGGAACCTTTTTGGCCATGTGAGCCATATTTTGATTGAGCTAAGAGCTTGTGAGCGAATGTTTTTCAGAAAAATATAATTTTTTCCAGAAGTTGGCAACAGACATATGCATTCTTAGATATATCAGAAAAATGAGAAACAACCATGATTTACAGTCGTGACTTAATGAGCTAAACTTTTCGGCTCATGAGCCATAGGTTCCCGACCCCTGCTCTAATCGGAATGACGCCGTCGGCCGCGTCGTAACCATCCCGTTTCTTTAACCTTGTTTTTCTCTCATAGGCCTACATGCACGTCCGGCCTTAGGTATGCGCCACATGTGCCCCGGCACAGGTCGCAAATTCACAAGAGGCCCCAAAATGTGCCAGGATGGATGCACCAACAATGTCTGCCACCTCCAGTTTTTCTTCACTAAGTGGAAATGCCTTCCGTTCGGCGTCTTCTTGTCTTCTTCTTGGACGGTTGGGGTTGACCCTTCTCCCTTCCGTAGAGAGAAGGGGAGGGGGGAGAGGGCGTTGGGAGTCTATTAGCACAGGACCCCGAAACAGATTGGGCCGGCCCTGCCTGCAGGAAAAGTGGTGAGAAGTCTTCCATGGGTCTACTAGTTCATCAAAATTCCATCCATCCTTTTGAGATGCATTGCCTCGCTTTCTTTATTTCCAAAATTGGAAACAAAGCCACCTTAGTTTCCTACTTCAGTAACTTAGTTTTAACATTTATTTCCACCTTTTCACTAACGGAAATGCATATAGGTACGGAAAATATATATCTGCAAAGAGAGTAAGGGCTTTCCCTTCAACCACAGTAGACTCTTACTTTCCCAATTTCATATGGCTACCAAATCACAGGGCTGGATGCTCATTTATACCTGCAAATGCATAAATTACGATTAAGAGCAGAGTTCTCAAAGAAAATAAGAAATTCCTACTTTCTCACCTCCTGGCGTAAGTATCCAAAATCTGGGCCAAGTGAATCCTTGTGATACGAGTTGCCCGCAGCATTTGGGCACCGGTCCACTCCTGCATGCATACATGCGAGCATGCATTGAACATGAAAGGCATACACAAGGTGCCGGTTCAATTAACCATATGAAAAATCATGGCCTTGACTTGACCTGTTTTGTTAAGAGAGTGCTGCTTTTAGGCAGTGACAGATACATTGCAAATGAGAGGGCGAGAGGACGTCTTAGTCACTAATCCCCAAACCCTACCACCACAGCTCCTTACCTTTATGGTTTTTCAACCGTGAAAACATTTGCAGACAATTTCATAGGTCCTATTTAACCCTTGACTACACACCGTTTGAGGGTGCCGTATCTCTGATGAACTAGAAAAAAAAACAAAATGCATGCATTTTTACATTTTCACATACTTTTATGAGTTATATAGGTTTCATTGGCTGTTGTGGTACTGTTAGAAGCAGCCGCTTGTTTGGAATCCTTGTTCAAAGCATGTGCAAATATGCAGATGCGAAACGTGAATTTTGGAAGATATGGAATTTTCATGGCTCATAGAGGAGCGTCAAGGGGTTTAAAATGTAATGTAATTCGAAGGAAGCAAGTATTTAACCCAAAGAAACCTGTAGAATATTAACATATTTGAAGATGCTTTGCTTACGGAGGAAAGCGTTCCCTCTGTATCCGTCACTGCTTACTGGCTAAAAAGTGTATTTTCCACGTCTTAGTTGGAGTTTGAAGACTCAGGGCATTCTGCTGCAATCCCAGTGAAACGTATCTACGGGAAAAGTAAGATGACGGAATCTATAATAATATACATTTCTATGAAAGGAACAGGATTCTATAAGCACAAAGCCTATAATCCTTTTTCCGAAAAATGTTTGCAGATGGATCACTTTATCTTACAGCTCTTCAATTTATAGGTATCCATGATGAGGCCTATTTTGATAGATATACTGTATTCCTACTTAACACGATCGGCATCAAATGCTTATCATGATAGGTATTTGTGAATTTTCCTGATTACGACCTCCTATCCATCGTCTTGCGCCCAGGAACATCGGCATGTGCATCTGCTCACTCACAAGACTAACGAGAGTGTTGTGTGATGATTTAATGGTGTTAGTCTCACTTTGTTAACCAGACTAGTGATGGAATTCCAATTGCCGTGGCTTGTTACAAAAAAGTATACGGGATTTTATCTATCCCAGAGTAACTTCGCTCGACACAAGTTGCAATGGTTCACGTAATTAATTGTATTAGCAAAATTCACTGTAATACACCATAGTAGCTCATTATAAGCAGAATAAAGAAGCCCTGGATCATAATAGAGTGAAGCAATTTTGATACCTACCATGATACCCTATAAAACCTATATACCTATAGGTATAAAATGTCTCTGTATATGGTCAATCAATCTAATCTATCAATCTCATCATTTGATACTCCCCAAAATAGCTATTTTATCAATTTTACAGTATACGTTCTTTCATACCAACCAGCGTACAGCCTAACGCGATTACAGCATGGCATGTCGTCCTCCCGTAAATTTTGGCTTCTCATCTCGGAGGGAACAGCTTAGCACTTCATTTAGCCCGCCATTCATCAAACCGCGGATCGTCTAGTCCCGAGTTTAACCCCGTGCTATTCTGAGCCGAAGTTGACACTCCACTTATCAATCGACCCATAGGGTTATCGTTTGAAAGCATTATACTACGTGGAGCGCATCCTCCAACCC